TCGTGATGGTCTTGTGACTGGTCTTGTGATGGTCTTGACCAAATCACAACTATTTCCAAGGATAGATTTGCGCCGGAGAGATGTTAATTCATTTTGGATTTTTGCCCCGCCTAACATGTATTATAATACTGTATACTCAGTCCTTGCAGCTGAAGACTTGTGAGAAAAAAAAATACAAGCATACTTGGGTGGGAGTCAAACCCACGACCTCCTGCTCACTAGTGCAGATGTCTTAACCACTCGACCACCAAGCTTGCCGGTGTCGGCTGGCAGGTTTGAGTCAGATGTAGCAGCAGTATTTCTAAGGATGGATTTTAACCGGGGAGATGTTAATGAATTTTGGATTTTTGCCCTTAACATGCTTGTGGTTTTTTCACAAACCTTTGAGGGCAAACACTGGGTGTATGGTGTTATAATACACATCGGGCAGGGCAAAAATCCCAAATTAAATCACAACTACCAAGACAATGTTCAGCAGTCACTGTAAACATATCATGCAGATGTGTGTCATAAAATAAAAAATAACAAATCAATCCATGGAATCTTTGATTTGGATGAGCAACTCTTCGAGAATCTTCCGGCAGAATGCCTTAGTTATATTAGATTTTAAATAACAAAGAAAACAAGAGCAAGCTTTCTTCAACATGTTAATGTATCCGGAGAAAACTATATACAGTAGCAGCAGCATGGAGGAGGGTAAAAGAAAGTAAAGAGTGATATTGTTGTTTGCTGTGTTTTTCAAGCCTGTTCACCAGATCGTGATATGCACACAATAACAGAAGAACCGTCCAATGAATCTTTGAATCACATTGACTCTCAGCCAACTGCCGACACATCAGGTAAAAATATCAACATTGTATCTGTTAGTAGCCGTTCACCATTCTCTGTTTTCCAGTGTTTCTGCAAAGTCTGCTTATTTCATGAATTTTGCAAATGTAACCATGCTGGCCTCAAAAATGTTCTGATCAAAGCTAATATGTAACACTGTACAAAATCTGTTTGCTGGATGTAAACAAGTCATTTTAAGAGCATGTTGGGGATTCAAACTCATGACATGAGAAATATTGTACTTGAGCACCACCAGCTGTCTTTTCACATCAAGTTCTTTGATAAATCTTCTAAATCATCATCAGTCATGCACTCTTTACTTTTCCACCCCTACTTTGCTTTAGAATTAACAGACACCAGATCAAGTGCAAAGAGTGCAGGGTGTCCAGAACAGCAGATGGATTGCGATGATGGTGAGCGTAGTCTTGATACACCGCCCTGTGACTCACCAAAAGCTGAAAGTGTGTCTGAGAGTAGAGATATAAGTCTGGATGTTAAACATCAACCTTCATCCCGTCCGATATGTGAAAGTCTTATAAACAGTGATAGCTCTGTGGCAGAGGTTGATGGACAGAAGGATGACCTGTGCTCACATACAAGTAGTGACACAACCCAGGACACAGCCAGTGGGGTCACCAGTGATACACCTGGGGTGACTACTGTCGACACTGCCCATAGTGGACCCAGTGTTTCTTCAAACAGCACAACCAAAGGCACAAGTGACACCGCACAAAATTCATCCTGTGACCCCTGCATGGATTCTGGTGTAGTCTCCACTACAGGCGCTACTGAGGATTCAGTGGCTGATTCAGGCCATCACATTGAAAGTGGCAAAGTTGATAAACCTGACATCTCACAAGCTGGCTCCAAGGAAAATGGCTGAGATGAATGGTTGTGGAGATATCACACAGAGACTGATTTTTAAATTGAATATGCAAGAGATTGTGGAAATTTGTGGATTGAAGGGATTGGCTTCACCAATCTTTATGAAACAAATGGTAAGTGCTTCCACTTTATAATTGTATTTGTGTATATAAATCTTAAAAAAGGTATCCTGAGAATACTGATTATTTGGGCAGTGCAGGCAATTGTTAAAATCTTCCAGTGGGGACTTTTGTTGGTGTTATCATAGCGTCAGTTTTACTAAAGTTGCAGGACAGATTCTGATGATGAATTGGACCCATGATAATGAGCTGGTTTATAATAGTGCCTCAAAGAGGACACCAATATTTGGCATAGTGTTGGGGGAACTTATTTTCCTGCCTTTGAAGTTACACTTCGAAACGGTGCATGCTGACAGGCTTTGTATGTTTTACCAAAATGTTGTACCAGATTCTAAAAGATTATTCCAAAAATTGAATTGGACTTTTCTCCTCGAAATCAGTTGATTATTTGCTGAAGGGATGTGCCGAGCTAGTCACAAGAGGGCGCCAGTCATATAAATTATTCTCCTTGTATGCAAGCAAATTGGATTGACATATGCATTGGTAAGATGGCGCTAGAAATTTCCATGAAACCAAGTGGTTTCTTAAATGATAGAAAGTGGATGTTTGGCTATACAGAGGGCGCCATAACATCCACTTTTCTTTCTACTGTTGCAAACCTCCCAATAGAACTGTGCAATACCTCTCTTTAATGTACATGTAGTTCTTTTGGAGGCTGTGGTCAGCCTGACAAGTTGAATAACTTATGATAAACAGAAAATAATTCGTTGTGAATTCTTTGACAAAATGTTTGGAGTTCTTGAGCTACCAGAATCCTCATTAGTACAGCCAGCCTTCACAAGTAATTGGTGTTTGATGTACTGCATGTCATCAACATTCATACTGTAGTAAGACATGTACAATATAGGATTACCAAATGTAGACACACCTAAATGTGGACCGGGGGGGGCTGAGGGGCATGGGCCTCACCAACCATCATTATCTTTCCCATAGTTTTTCTTTAAATCTGGAAAATTTTGAATCAGGTTTTGTTTGAATGGAGCAATACTGTAATTAAAACAGAAAGTAAAGAGCAAATCTGAACTCATCAGGAATGAGTTGTGTAGATTCCAGGGCTGTTCAGTAAAGAACAGTCTTTGGCTGTTATTTTGTTGCCGTATTTTGCCATGTACTGGCAGTTAATGCCATTGCCAATGAACACAAATGCATGGTCGTGTACATGTACATTTTGCCTTTTGATGAGACATGAGAAATTAAGAATTCATATTTGGTACTCTGAAATGTACATCCATGAATGTATTGTGTTACTGCTTACATTCTTAGAGTTATATGCTTGCAAACGTGTGGAATACAGCTGAGTTGGTCTAAATCTGCAATACCTGATAACATCATTGTAAACATGTCCCGAACACCTGCAGCCAAATTGGTAGAGCTGTACCGGTATAATTTCCTCAGTAAAGCCAGGTTCTCTGCCTAATGTCTGCTGATGTATTGTCTGTGATGCTTGTGATCAATTGAAAGCATATACATTTTGAAAGCAGTCATTTCTGCTTAAGGCCACATGAAAATAATTCCTAGTTCCTCAAATTGAGTAGTAATGAGATATATTCCCCTTTATTTCTGCCAACATCCACACTTATTAGCCAGGGATGACATTTCAAGTTGGACGATTGAGTGAATTTGGAAATCAAATTGATGGTCTAAGGTGTGGGGAGTAACCCCTCAAACAGGCTAGTACATTGCTGCCATCTTGCTGCCATCCAGACTAATTATGGTAATGAGCAGTATTCCAATGTAATTAATCAATAAAAATTCTGCTTTGACATTTGTTTGATATTTCAATTAAAGTTTCGATAAATGAAATTGATACAGCATTACTTTTGGATGTGGATGAGAAATGGGAAATTTTTTTATTAGGCCATAAGTTCTACAAACGTTGGCTTGCTTTGTACAGAAACACAGAAGTTGCATTTAGGAGACTTTCTAGCAAGGTGCTGTGGGTATCTTGGTGTGCTTATTGGTTTACTGAGACAAGTAAAAACAGTAGCTTTTGTTTTCAAAAATGCAAGGAGGAACAAGATTTTTAAAGTCTTGGGTAAAATAATATTTGTCTTGCAAGCATATATTCTTTAGAATGTTGCAATATTTATCTTGAGTTAAGTGGATATTACATGTATGTGCCATAATTTCATTGTGCATTTGTACAGATATCGTGCCTTTTAAAAAGTGCCTTCAAAAGCAGTATTAGAGAATTCCAATATTTTGGGGTGTAGGGTTTGATATTACTATCACATGTTTGATAAGAATATGCATTTCCTTTCTAAGCAAGGTTGAGGCATACATGTAGTATTTCTTTACTTCTAATCATAAACTTTTGTCTGCCAGCAAAGATATCTTAAATCTTAACCTCCCAGTTCTTGAACCTCCTTATTGGCTGATTGGATTTCAATGCAGATTTCAACTCTTTTCTGTTTTAAATGTGTGCACCATTGAATAATTAATAAACATCAGGTTTGGCTGGATATTTGGATTGTGTAATGGAAACTTTGTAAAATGTGGCAAGATCCCACAAAATGACACCTACAGCGTTTTTCTTCAGTACATGTCATTTATTTTAAAGAACTGGCCTTTTTGTTACAAATGTGAATTACATATCTTGGTTGGCTGGAGTTCTGTCGGGGGGGAGTGTTCTTCAAAGATGTCTGTAGTGCTCAGTTTATTTTTGCTTCAATACTGTAGACGATGTATATTTTTTGATAGGTTATGTGTATTCATTATTGAGAGGAACCCAGATTACGTCATGTTTAGAAATATTTAATAAATCGAACCAAAAATATTAAAATTTGATGAATGCGGTTTCAAAAAAGCCTTACTTTTTACCCCACGAAGGTTTTAAGCTTACATCTGTATTCTGTAAGGATAAAAATAATTTTTCAAGAAAATACAGGATAAAATTTAAACCCAGAATTTGCAAGGACTTAGCCTTTTTATTTAATTAAAATTTAATCATTCTCCCCCCCCCCAAAAGCAACACTCAAACACAAGTGGCTGTAAATTCAAATCAGTTTGAGCAATTTTTAGGAAAATCAGGAATTGAAATTTTTCATGAAAGTTAAAATACGCAATTGGTTTGTGTTGCGATTTTTATGAAATGTTGAAACTATTTGGTCTTTAAAATGCATGCATATTGAAATTCAGATAAATATTTTTTTAGGGAAATTTTTAGGGAAAATGACATCGCAATTTTCAGGCAAAATTAAATGAAATTTGCAAGGGGTTAGCCTTGCAATTTTATTAAAAATCTGATCACACAGTTTCCCTCTAAAATCGTTAAAAAATCAATTTGAGCAACTTTGAAGGAAAAGAACAAATTGATTTTTTTTCTGAAATTATGAAATTTGCAAGGGGTTAACCTTACGTTTTTATTAGAAATTTGGTCAAACAGCTTCTCGCTAAAATTACTCACAAATGCATGTAGATGGAACTTCAGATCAATTTGAGCAATTTTAGGAGAAAAATTACGGATTAAATTTTTTCGCCAAAATTGATTTGTAATGGTGAGTGATGTTTTTTTTTTAAATTTGGTTAAGCATTTTTGTCGGTAAAATCATTCAGAAATGCGAGTGGATGGAACTTCAGATCAATCTGGGTAATTTTGAGGAAAGTAACGAATTGAAGTTTTCTCAAAATTAATTCTTTTATTGCACAAACGATAAAAACATTACTCTCTGAAAAAGGTCGAAGGCGCCTTTCGGCTTGTCCGTGTTTGGTGACCGGTGAGACGTGTGTCTCATGGCCAACCTTCCCAGATCCTTAAAAATCCACCAGGACAGGAGATTTGTGGAAGATTGAGGAAGGAAAAGCCCTACCTCTGTGAATTCAAATGGGACTTGATGTGTTCGTAGATTTTTGGAGAATGTATCAGTCTGAGGAGAATTTTTTTTAGGACTCGGAAAGGTTTGCAGGAACCACCATGACCACCGTCTCTCTATGTACATGTACGTGTACATGTACTGTACACTGTACATGTAGGTGTGTAAACACGTCGCGCGCGACCTCTGAAAGGTGCCCACACACTCAGCCTGCAGGTGTGTCCGGATTTCGCGCTGCTGATTGGCTGTTGTAAGGAGTCTGACGGACAAATTAATGTAGTGCATTTTCCAATCGACCTCCAGCTCCAGGCAGGCGGTGCCGCGAAAGTTTGAGCTCGAAATTCCGCCCAACTAATCCTGGTTTGTAACAAAGTGTTGTCATTTTAAGGTGAATCGTTGTGAAACATAACTCTTGAGCTGTAAGTGGGTGTAATTTGAGCAAATTCTGAACCTTCAAAGGGGTGTTTTTTAATCGGACCATGGGACTAGCCTACGGGTTGTTCGGTCCCATGTGGTGCGACCGCGCAGCTGTGCACGCCATCTTGTTGTGATTAACGACATATAGAAAGTGACGCATATAACGAAAAGCAAGGAATGCGGGTCACGGGTTTTTCAGAATATTCCTATGTTATTCAATACAAATACGGAGGCACAAAATACGCCCGTTTAAAATCCTTTTAAAAAATCACATTTCCCCCACCCAACATCGCATAATATTGCTTTTGGTATCAATACTATCACTAGAAAGCTTATTTGAAACCTATCTTTTGGCATATACATGTAGGCCACATCTAAATCAGACTAGCTTGAAAAAGTTGTCACATGTCTATTCTATGCTGTCCTTACGTCTTGCTGCTTAAATAATCAGTACTTTGTCAACACTTTGTCAGCTCTGACAAGTTTGGCCTCACAGAAAGTGATGAAGATGACACTGATATTTATACTTATAGCCGTCGCACAGACAGTGAAGGTAAGTACATGTACTTTGTACGAAGACTGTGTTTAAAAAGGCCCTAAATATCAGAAACAAAATTAACAATTCTGTACAAAACCTTTGTACATGTAGGCCCTACTGTGACTTTGTCCGACAAATTCGACAAATCAATGCAATTTTCTACTAAGGAATGATACTGCTTACGATTTTTGTTAGTTTTTTCAATTTTTTATGATGAAGTCACCACTCTGTTTTCACTGCTGAAGTTAACACCTAGAACCAGTGATGACATCAGTATTCATCTCCTTTTTGTTCTTCTCAAGACGTGGGCTCAAGAGAGACTCAAGTTCCAGTGAGGACCCAAGTGACAGCCACCTGACAGTGATGAGGAGCAAGAACAATGGAGAAAACAGCAGGTAGAAAAGCTTAGACTTGTCAGTCATACATGTACATGTATTTGCCATCTGTGAAGAAATCAATTTTTGCAGGTAGGTTTGGCCCTGGTACTTCCTAACGTCTAATGCTAAGAGCTTGGTTACATTGGACCACCTCACAGCTCGCAGCAATCCCAAGAATTGGGCTTTCCAATGCTGGATTTTTTTTACAAACTTCTATAATACAAATATTGAAGTTTTATCTCAATCTGTCATATGGTTTGACAGTCACTTGAAGTTGGGAAAGGCAGCAAAAGAGTTTACATTCTTGGTTGACCTCTCTCAGAAAAAAGGTGCTGTGCGAGAACGGTATGTTGGATTTTCACAAAAATGGTGTCAGAATGACCAAAAAGAGTAATTAAAAAACCTAGAACACTTCTGGAAAATATGCACCTTGATAATATTAGAAAATGTGTTAAAGGGGCGTAGATTCCCTAGCCCCTCCCCCCAACTCTTTAGGGTAAAATTCAGAGGTTCTTCAAGAAATGTCCACGCACACAGCCAGAGTTTTCACAATTTGTTAAGTTGAGAAAGCAGCTACTGGGCACCTTTTGTTGTTTGTACGTGTGTCAACTGGCCGAAGATGGATCTTTTCCGAATCAGCTGGCTAAGGCTGACAGAATTACATAAGTTTGTGGCAAATAACTGAAGCCACTCACTTGTGGCTTTAATCATCTAGCCTCAGCCATGCCTTTTGGACATTGCCTCAAAACCCACAACTCTGCTGGGGACATGCTCAAACTAAAGTACATTTATTACAATGCATACAGACATAACTGCTCCTTTTTATTACTGTATTTTTACCGGGTGTTAAAGGTGATAACAGCGTGGCTGGTCCCTTGCCTGTGGGCTCATCTTCTGGCATCTCTGGCCTGATAGAGTAAGGTGATAGCAGCATGGTTGGTCCCCTGCCTGTGGGCTCATCTTCTGGCATCACTGCCCCAGTAGAGTAAGCCATCTCTTGTTTTACGACAATAGTTGCCATGATTTCGGTTGTTGCAACAATTTATTTAAAGGTACAGTCCACCATTACTCAAAATCTAAAAGGAACACAAGAACGAACTTGACGAAGATGAAGTTTCAGCTTTATAGTGAATGCTCCATATTCTGAGAAAACTATTCCAGGACTTAGATTTCAGCTCAAAAGTTGCTGAGTCATGTTTTAAATTGTGCCTGAATTTAGCATCTGGGAAACAATCTCATCTTCAGTCAAATGCAGCTTCACCTTGCCACCCCCTGAACTGATGAATTATAGAAACTGCCATTGTCTGTGCATTGTGTCAATGCTTGCAAGAATTTCTAATAGTGACTTTCCAAAAATTTGAGAAGGGGCCTGCTTGAAAAAATTGTTTCTTCATGGTGACCGTTTGCCAGAAAGAACAGTTTCCCAGCGAATTTAGTCCTCCATCTAAACCGAGTATGCTTTTCAACAACAATTTTGGATACCTTTTGGATAACTGCAAATGATGGACTGTACCTGTTTTTAACCCATTTGTCCTTGTACAGGGATCCCACAGTCATTGAAATCCTGGGAAAAAGTTGCCCTGGAAAGTCATGGAAAACTCATGGAAAAATGGTCTGAGGAAAAGTCATGGAAATCAAGACCGTACAAGGGTGATTTCCTGTGCAGAGTGGTATTGAATGCCATGGAAATAATCATATATTTTAGTTCTGGAAAGTGCAGGAAAGGTCACTGAAGTTGATTTTCAGATGTCGTGGGAACCTTGCTTTTAACTGTCAGGGCCCAATTTCTTGATGCTGCTTAGCACACAATTTTACGCTTACACGGGCTCTGCGTATTTCATGCATACCGTAAACAGTAAGTACAGCCAAATGCATCCTAACCTTGGAGGAAAGATTTGCTTAAACTTAGTGATGTTACAAGAGAAATCTCTATCCGCACGCAACCATCAGCACAACCACCCCGAGCAACAATATGAAATAGTGCTCAAGGTTAGCATCATATTTTTCTGCTAAAATTACATGGAGCATGATTTTTCTTATGACTCTGTTAAGAAGCCCCACGAAATTGGGCCTTGACCCCACCCAGCCTGTTACCCCCAGCACTCCCCAGCACTGTATGGTTTTATGAATGTGTCAAGAAGCCCATGAAATTGGGCCCTGACCCCACCCAGCCTGTTACATCCTGCACTCCCCAGCACTGTATGGTTTTATGAATGTGTCAAGAAGCCCATGAAATTGGGCCCTGACCCCACCCAGCCTGTTACATCCTGCACTCCCCAGCCCTGTGTGGTTTTATGGATGTAAGAGCTACTCACAATAAGATTCTATGTGGTGATGGGTTGAAACATGGATGGTTTGCTCATTTGGGGGAAAAAGTATTACAGTGTGACTGAAAAACCTTAGGTGACAATTTCCTCTTGTCATTTTTCCCTGTGTTTAGATTTGGGAAGGCCTTTTGGCCAGGTGAATGTACTGCCCTGGCTGCCTACATGGTTGTTGAGGCTGGCTAGTGTCATGGTGCAAGTGGACTGACTGACTGACTGGTAAGAGTCCTGTGTTTCATATCATTTTTGGTTTCTGCAAGGATGAATCTGGGAAAGGGGGAGGACCCAATTGGGGTCATGATCAAAAAAGGAGCAGAAGTTGTTTTCATTGAAAAAATGAAGGGATCTTTGGTCTTTTTAATTTCCCTTCTTTTGAAAAGTGGAAATGTAGCCTAACCCCCCAACAACTTTTTTTAATGAAATAAAAGGTGTAAAAAAATTAGGAGCATAAAGGGATACTATAGTTTTGGAAGAAATGTCTCAATTTCTGCTGTAGCTTAGTTCCTTTTGTGATTGATTTCTTCCCCAGACCTCCTTGTGTGAAAGCTCTGGGCATGCCCCAGGAGAAGCAGACCATGATGCTGATGAGAAGAGCGCCCTCGCTTCCTTCAACATGGAGAGAAGGAAGATGGAGGACAAGATCCTATGGGACTTCACAGAAATGGTTCATGACAATGTCAAGGAAAGGAAGTAACTCAGATAGATACCAGTCTTCACCTCCATCACTGAGGAGGAAAAGCTTCTAAGATTGCATTAGTGATCCTCATCTGAATCTTAGGCATTCATTCACAAAAAGGCAAGGAAAGGACTCAATTTTCTTAGAGATGTAGGTCCTTGCTTCCACCTTAGTGATGAAGCAAGTCTGTCTGCATTTGTACACTACTAAAAAGATCAAAGGATCATGCGTAGTGATTAATAATTTAAACAAATGGTATTCACATAACAAAATATGAGCATCATTTAATTTGGCTATTTCCAAGAAACAAGAAACTTCACTAGAGACTACTGAAGTCTCACGACACTGAAAAAAAACTTTGGTCAGCACCTTGTCCAGGTCCTTCACGGCGCTGAAAATGATGTATAAAACGAGTTTTAACCAAGTAATGTGAGGGCACTGTTTATGAGTTATAATGATTTTGCAGTAATATGAGGGCACTGTTTATGAGTATGTTCTGGTAATGTGAGGGCAGTGTTTATGAGTATGTTCTAG